GTTTCATTTTGCTTGTACACATTTGATTTCTGAAAGATTTATAAGTCACATCTTAAACTTATACCCAAATTTACGAAAATTCAGTATTCCGGATAGCTGTCGAAGAAAAAATAGATGTGATATATTAGTAAAAAAACTTCTTACTATAGAGAAACATCTTAATGTCGAAAGCTGGTGATAGAATACTAGCCAATCAATCAGAATGGTACTGTACTTTACCAATCTAGCTAGTCCAGAGCGGGCTGTGAGGCGATTTTCATGATCATCAGCTCAGAAGATTTTTGCTGGACCAGAGATTGTACGACAAAAATAAGTGGATCATCAGTCAGGTCTTGTGCGACATAATAATTTTTGCATATATATTTGAAAAGCATATTAACCTTTATTCTTTATTTTTTTCACCAAACAATCATGAGAAAAATGTGAAAGAATGTCTACAAGCAACACAGGACCAGTTCGCTTAAAGCGAACAAATAGTTACAGTAAAAGCATATATTATAAAGGGCTGAGAACTTCGCAATTTTGAAATCTATAAAAGCCAGCTATCTTTGCGTCTTGCAAGTAGATCTCCATGTGAAAAGGTATGAGGATTTCATTTACATGTGCTTTCATAGACCTCTTGGCATCATATAACAATACTAATTACGCCTCATATCTCCTTAACTTTTTCCCAGCAAGATATAAAGCATGTAGTAGTATATGGAAGTTTAGCCAACTTTTCGCAAAAAACTTTCCCATAAAAATAACACAAAAATAAGGTATGTACAGTATATGCTAGAAGTTATGTATACATGCAAGCGAAAATTTCTCACAACAGTCTTGTATTTAGGAAAGCGAGATGTCTTCCAGTTCCACTCTAGCTGACAAGGTAAAAGAATATGAAACGGAAAGTCTTATCAAATTCTTGCGGAAAGATCCAAAATTAAAACGCATAGAAGTCGGTGATGGCTTTTTTACGAGGCTTGAGGAGGAAAAAATCACCGGTGATTCATTTCTCAAGTTAACTGGATGGGAATTTAAGGAGTATGGAATGACATTAAGACAAGCATTAGAACTTGAGGATTATATCAAGGGGCTGGGTGAGTGATTAATTTAGCCAGCGCTTCGCATAATGTTATGCTGAAATTTAATGAGCCTTGTTCTTACAGACATTATCTTTTGATAACAGGTGTTCGAAAAACTATAACAGATTTAACAGATTATATGACTTCAAAAAATAATTAGTATTTTTATTCGTATCATGTAACGATATAATCGCGTTGTAAGCCGGATTCCGGCAACGTTTTTATTACATAAATAAAGTATTATTATTATTTTATCGAATGTACATGAGAAACGGGTCACACGTAATGATGCGGGACTATAAATCTAACATTTTTATCCGAACCAGTCTAGCCTATATAAAAAACGTAACGCTATTTCAGGTGATAAGTGTGAAGAGTCTTCACGGTTATGGAGGCGCAGTGATTACGCGATTGTTGCACCTATAAATATCCTATGATGCAATGTGGCTGGCGATCGGTCTCTTGTGAAACAGAATAATTTCTCACATATAGTCTGCTTCAGTATTTTTTTCGCAAATAAAATTCTTTTTTTACTCTTGTCCTCACATACGCTAATTTTGCACCAATAATATTTCGCAAAAAATACTATATAAGCCGAAAACATGTCTATCACTTTACTTTGCCTCATCAAAGGAAATAAGACCGCAAACGCCTTCGCTGTTGATATTGATAGTGGGAAGTTGGTTAGCCACCTCAAGAAAGCTATTAAGGCCGAGCAACCGCAAACTTTCGCTAATGTTGACGCCAAAGACATTAAGTTATGGAATGTGAAGATCCCTGACGATCAGGACGATCTCTTAAACGGTCTCTCACTCAATGACGAACCCGAGCTCCTTGCAACAAGAGAAATTGGAGACTACTGGACCGAGAAACCGCCTAAGAGGCATATTCATGCCATAGTCTCTCCACCAGAGACCACCACCACTTCGAGCCGTGAAGAGGAATTACTTAGCCAAGTCGCCTCGTTGAAGGCATTACTCAACAAGTCCATCCATGGTACGTAGATTAGACATTGTTGACCGAAAAAGGTTTTATTAACTATGACATTTCTTTATAGAATTCGACGTCGTCCTTCACCCGAAACGAAAGCCAAATAAGTGGACAGCAAATATCGAACAAGTGACCCTCGAAGGCCTCAAGGATTATATACGCAAAGAATATGAACCACCGTCTCTTGAAAAAGATGGAGCGGTGTTAAAATTCACAAGCGAAGATAAAGAAAGATATTCGCCATGGAACGATCAAGACCTACGTGAAATGCTACAGCTGTTCGTGGCAAAAAATAGCTTCAAGTTTACTGTGATTATAGAGACTCCATCAAAAGGCTTTGCAGAATGGTCATTCCCGAAGGTATGTCAGCTTTACGGACTCGCAGAATCGGATGACCCATCATTGTCAGTATTCCCGCCTTTCACTTACGAGTGCAAAGACCTGGAAGATGGTTCTTCCCGGGAAATACTTAGAAATCTTATAACCGAACTGAAGGCCTGTCTCAAGTCCATTCCAATCAGTGGAAATGAAGCATCGAAATCGCAATACGTGTGTTCTTACCTTGTTGCAGGTGCGAATCTATACGAAGGGAAATTTGAGCTTCGACCGGAAAAAAATATCACAGGGCCCAATGGACACGGACCTGTCGATTTCGCAATAGATTTACAGTACTTCAATCTGCAAAAACTGTTGGCGTAACAGAAGTAAAGGACGAGGATTTTTTTAAGGGTATTGCTCAGAATGCTGTACAACCTTATCAAACCGTAAGCGTAAAGCAAGTGAGATGGAAGAAGATGTGTTTACAGGAAAGACTTTTGGAATTATCACAGATGCGAAAGAATGGTATTTTATGGAATGTTCGTATAATGAGGGGAAACCTTCGTTCAAGCTATCGGAACCAGTGACTGTCGTATACAAAGATGAGGATATGCAAGCTAAGGTAGAAAGGGTCCTCGGACATATTGCATGGTTGTTGGAGGAGGCACAGAAGCCGGATTCTGATTTTCGAAGTGAAGAAAGGGTAATAAAAAAACCTAGGTCATCGAGCAACCTTACCGGAAAGTCAGATAAATAGGTTTTAGCATAGAAAAATCGTCATGTATCGCGGGCTACGTCCCGAACATATGTATTTATTTTTCGCATGTAATAATAAACATTTTTCCTGGCAAAAATTTCGAATCAGGAAAAATCACATGATTTTTTTATTTGAATGCAATTGCTTATTTATGTGATTTATGTTTGTAAGACTGGATAGAACATTCCATCTCGTTGAGATTTGGTAAATGAGCTTACAAAAGCGTAAGTGAGTACAGACTGAGCTTTACAAAAGAGTAAATGAGTACGGATTGGTAAATGAGCTTACAGAAGCGTAAATGAGTAAATGAGTACGGATTGGTAAATGAACTTACAGAAGCGTAAATGAGTAAATAAAATGAGTATTATGCAACATATGAATTATTGGTTTCTTAGCAGAGAGCCTTTCAGCCGTATGTTATAATTAATAAAAATTTGCCATATCGGGATTTATTTTTTTAACATGCGTGTAACTGTGAATCGAAAAAATAATCAACCATGTATCATGTGCTAGCTCCCGATTTGTATTTTTCATTGATAAAGCATAGGCGTATTGGCATAATTTCTTGTGTGTAGATTGTTTACGCTTGCGTGATCTACCAACCGAATACTTATAAATGCCTTTTGTTAAATCAATTTTGTAATAACAAATAATCAAAAAAAAATGAAATTCACTAGAGTACTTACTATACATGTTATGATGATATTTATCGTCGCTAATTTCATCACCTCAGCTTACGGAATTTTTTGTAATCCTTTCTCAGGTTGTTCTTTATGCAGAACATGGGATTGTAAGTATTTCAAATTATTGTCATAATACTGTATTGGAAATATATTATTGATTTTAAATGATATTAGGTACATCATATCCCGATCTAAAAGAATATCGTTGTCGTCCTGGTTCATGTAAATGCAAGTATGGTGGTGAATCTGGTAAATGCAGTCAATGTGCTCCTCCAGACGATCCGCAGAGAGTCGGTACTTGGTACCATTTTGAAGAATGTGATTGTGCTAGTTGTATTCCGCGCTAAAATCTTACAATCCCGGAATTGTTCCGGTCGTGGCGCAACAGATTTCTTATAAATACCGGAAATTTCATTTGATAAATTTATATCGCAAAAAAGTATCTTTATTTTATTATCACAGTAGTTTATTACAATATGATTATTTAAAGCCAGTACGTCTTTTCTGGTTATTCCAGATTGTATATGCATGATTATAATTAAATTCTTGCCCTTCCAAAGAAATGCGCATCAACATATCCGTAGCTAATGAATTCCTGTCTTTTGTTTTAATTTTATTCTGTCTACTAAAATCACGTTCACATTCTACACTTGAAAAGGAATACAATAAACTATTTGAATTAACTTGATAATATTCGGAAATACATAGCATTATCTTGTATTAATAGAGGAAGTATTACCTCTCTGGCATTAGAAGCAAATTGTTAGTAGTAATCACTTTCTAACACCGGAATTTTTAAATGTATCGGTTGAAAAAATAAATTCTCAGAATTTTTATATTTAACCGAAATTTTTCCAAGATTTTGTTCCGCGCTGGATGTACTGGCCCTTCTAAAATTCTGCACTAAGTTTGACAGTATCATTTTAATACATATTAGCATAGGAACTTCCATGTATGTGTCCATTTCCAGAATACGAAAAGCTAGAGAAACGTCTTGCCCACTATAGAAAGACCTACGAGGATCATGAAGCATCAAAGAAGTTCTATGACGAGGTTAAAGATCAGCTCCCCAAAGAGGTTACCAAAAACGCTATCCGGAAGAAATCAAACAGGGCAAGGAAGGTCTATGATCTTTTATTCTTTATTACCAATGATAAAATTCAATGGATGGTATTCATCCAACGAATAAAATCATTTTCAGCAACATCTATTTCGAATCTACGTGATGATAATATCAGATATGTAGTGTCTCAGGTTAGGAAGAACACACGAACCTAAGGCCAAATAATGGTTGGATTCTGAGATCGAGCCACATGGCGCGTTCTCAAAGTTTAGCACTTTTTTATATGAAGTATTGTAAGGCACGATTTTTGTAATCTGGTATGATAGATATCTGTATTAAATAATTGTGTCACAGGCATAATCTGCCAGGGAATTATCCATTCAATAATTATTAAGATCCTAACCTTTCACGGGATTGGCTAACGCATCCAAGTGTGCATTATGTTCTTTCACCCCAAATGCATTAGACCTAGAGAATGCATCGAATAATCTATTTTTTTCTCGATCAGATATGTCTGGAAGACGTCTGATAAATTCCATGAGTACAATGTTCCGATGACGAGCTTCCTGGGTTTGATAAAGTTTTTTCAAAGCATCTTCACCAAAACGTCTTTTATAATCCCATCTGGTATATCTTTTCCTAATGTCCCAATAATTGTCCTGATCATCATCACTATCTTCTTCGTCAATGTCAGATTCGTTATTGTCGTCATCATCCATGTTTACAGGCAAGACTTCATTATCTAATAATCCCAAAGCCTCCAAGAATTCATATACCTCAATCTTATCACTAGCACTAGTGTCAGAATATGTTTGTTCCATGACGATAATATACCAAAATATCTTATCTTCAATTTGGGTTATTCACCTTCCCTCGTCTATGGTCGATCTGCGCTGTAGTAGATACCCAGCATCGGGTGAAAATATGTTACGTCACTAAACACATGATACTGCTCCCTAAAATCCGCAGTGAATAAAAAAAATTCTTGCCGGAAATATTAAAATTTATATTTCCGCAGTGCTCCTATTTTTAGATCTAGATGCGCTATTTTTGTATTAATGGAGCTAAGATCTTATAAAATGCCATCGATCAATAAAAAATTATTCTGGTATATGCCATGCGCAATATTCAATAATACGTCATTATTAAACTTCTCCGCAGTAACTACACATATACTGTTTGAGTGTCATATGATACCGCTCCCTCTGGGCTTAGTGTCAAGTGATCCTTTACACATATGATGTTATGAGTGTCATATGATACCGCTCCCTCTGGGCTTAGTGTCAAGTGACATATACCGTTGTATGATATTGCTTCCTCTGGGATCGGTGTCAAGTGATTCTCTACACATATGCCATTATGAGTGTTATATGATATTGCTCCCTCGAGGCTAAGTGTCAAGTGATTCTTTACATGTATACTGTTATGATAGTCATCCCTTTAGGCTAGGGACCCGTAAAAATTCTTTCGATTTGAGCCAAAAATTTCGATTCGTTTAACCTAATGATATTAGCAAAATCATATGTTTAGATAATTAATAGCCAATCGTTTTCTGATCACATGATAAAATTATATCCAAAATTTTCGATCTTTGAAAAAATAAAAATAAATCAGATCATTTATTAAATATGTTCAGCTAATACTTTCTATTACATATAAAAATAAAACAGATCATGTATTAGAATCTATGTAAATATGTTTGAACTAGTGCTTTCTATTACATCAAAAATAAATTAAAATCTATATATATGTAAATATGCATAGCGCTGGCCAATAATGTTATTCAATCAGTCTGCATAGGTACCCCCTTCCCATTTAGATCTAAATCATCGAATTGATCTTCAAGCCAATTTGGTCGAGAAGAATTTGCTCTAACCCTTTCTTGAATGATCTCTATTTCTTTATCAGTAAATTTTCCAAAAGACGATGGTGAAATTCTCCTAATTCGCTTGATCTCGTCTCTTCCCAAACCTTCTGTTTTGAATATATTGTAAATATTTTTAGCTGGGTGTTTTTTCTTGTTAAAGATATTACAGGTCATGTCGGAGGGAAATTGTCACTTAATTTCTACATTAAGCAAGATTTTTGTGATTTGAGTAGGATGAATGGATTTTAATTCAGCCAATTTCCTCTCTAATGCTTCCCTGAGAAGATAGTGTAAGTCAAGGATTTTATATTCCGTGCGGGATACTTTAAGTGTTTTTTCTTTAAGAATCTTCTCAGCTTCAAGTATTTTATTGTGCATAGAGTTCCGGACAAGTCGAGTTAACTCACGAATCAGATAAGCCGAGTCGAGTTCAAATCAAGTCGAGTTGGTGTTTTTTTTGACTCGATGATTTGCGAGTCAAGCCAAA